TTAGTTGAATTGTTCTCGTCATTGAGACCATAGCCAGTTGAATAGACTATCTATCTGGCCCGTTACATAAAGCATTATTGTCACAGGTTGTAACCCAAAGGGTGGCTTCAGGGTGTGTCACAGACCTGGCTCAGCCTTGTCGGATTAGGCCGAGTGGACCTTAGTCCCTGACCTATTACTCTGCCGACCTATACCGGTTGTCAACCGGAGAGTTTCACCATGCAACATCCGTTTGCGAGAGATAAAAATATCCATATACCAACCTTCACCGTATGCTATCTTGAGCTCCTGCATCTAGGACTTGATTATCATGGGGGGCACTACGTCACATATCAAACCAAAGGCAGAAGGCCTAATACCAAAAATACCAAGCAATCAGAGTTCCCGACAGGATAATTTCGCCCTCACTCATCTACCATCTGAGCTTTAAGCCATGATATGGGATATGGCTCTGCCAGAGCCGCGCATTATTGAGGTTGTAGAAGTTTGGCCCGACTTGACAACTTTTGTTTGAATGCTCTTGTGTAGCTTGGATATCCAGTTGAGGTCTCTGAATTTCAGAATCAGACCGAATAGACGGCATCTCGTATTGATATATGTTTACCTCGTCTCTTACAATTTGACTTAGTCTCCACATTATGCCGTGTCTCCTGATACAAAAAGCAAAGTTCGATATGCATCCACTGATGTTACCAGGGAAGCTCATGATGTCGCCAATTGCTTGTTGCTCGCAATGAGATTTGAATTTCCGTGGCCAGTGCAGACTTTCTATTTGCCTACTTTATTGGATTCTATTTTTGCGCTTCACCATCAGTGCGTTCGAGCCTGGGTAGCATCCAACAAATCCGACGGGTTATATGCCGAAAGATATGACTCGGCTACAGGTAACCCGCCATGCCACCACATATATCGACTGACTCATAGTTTGTTCCAAAGCCTCTAAGCTCTGGGATGATACGATAATAGAAGTTGGCACTTCTATCTGTCTCAGCAAAACCTATCATATCGTCTAGTGTATACTGCATGGCTAGCGTGGCCCATTGTGTAGCATAATAGTAAGACATCTCAGACTGGTGGGCAGTTGATAGGAGTGACTTTTCGCGAGTCGTGAAAGAGATCTTAAACCCAGCTCCATCGACACGCTTAGAAAGGTTACCACCTTTATCAATGGGCAAGTGTAGAACCGTCATCCCATCCTCAAAGTGGTTGGCCACCACATTCACTTTGCTACCCGTTTCAGGGTGGACTAGCCCGCTGAATTGAACACGAGCAATCAGGTTAGGATCGCCTTCGCGTTTCGTAAGGTTCTCCTCTGTGATGTCAAAAGGGATAGAAGTGATAGCATCATAAGATATAGTATTGTTGAGAAGAGAAAGTTGCCACCATAGAAGGTAAGCCTCTTGGGCGTCAATCGCCCTCTTCCCAGGGACATGTAGAGTCTCAGGGATTGACCCCGAGTAGTGAGCAGCCGCAATATAGAGGAGAGTGAAACCAGCCTGGATGACATATGCAAGATCGCCGCAATTTGGGTATCCTGTGAGCTGACAGACACCACGTGCAAAGGAGTTTCCCAGTGTGATATAGGCAATACTAGGCCAAAGTTTAGTGAATAGCCCATCAATATAGATAGATACACCTACGTGGCCCTGCTGGTGCCAATGGTACGAACAGTCCTATCTAGTACTGCACAAATGGAAGCTCTCCCATCAAGAGTCCTCAGTACCAGGTTCGCATCATTGGCGCTGCTAATCTCAATGGCGGTGCCGGGATCAGAAGCAGCAGGAGCAGCGAATACTGCCCGACAAGCCAGAATTGCAGCAACGCAGGAACGAGGCAGTATCATCTTGGGCAAACCGAGCACGGTGTATGAAATGTGTGATTATATGGTAGATCTAGAATGATTATGATGGGTACGACGCCAATCAACTTCCGTTGGCTAAATTTTCTTAAGCTGACGATAGATTCGAGCAGAAGAATCTGAAGGCCTCGGCCATTATTTATAGTAGGCCATCAGCCTCCGACATGCCAGAGACTGCGTCCTTCTAACGTCCCCTTCAACCCACAACAATACCCCCTCTCTTCGTTCGCTTAATATCTCCCGTTACCTCGAATCGACAGATACAACAATAGGCCTTTCGAAGCTGTGATATGGTTTATGCAGGTGCGAATGCAGCTGGCTGAACTTGAGACGTTAGTAACGGGGCATCGGCCGCTTTTCGGTAGCTTTTGAACCAACATGCTCTAGTATGCCCTTGCACCTTGTCACGCTTAGAGCCTGGCTCTTCCGCTTTTCCGGAAGGTTCGTGTAGGCGCCACTCATTGCAATACGTCGCTTTGCTAATATACAGCATACAAAGTACTTCTCCGCCAGGATAATTATTGTGAGGTTGGCTAGGGCGAATCTACTGAAAAGAACATGAGTCCTAATACTTCGAAGATTCTGTTTATTTGACAAGGGTAGCAGTACCCGCATGGAAAGAGTAGCGACCTCCTTGTTAACTAATAATTAATAATGATCTTTGCGAAAAAGTAGAAGAATGTAGGCCGAAGAGGTTCCATGTGCGACAAACGTCAAAATACATACACAGCAAAGAGCTAGCGCCGCAGCGCTAAGATAGCCGGTCAAGCTCCTCTAACCGCTTCACAGCATAGCCACTAGATACAGCCATACTCATACTGGGGTGGCGCCGGCTAAAGCGTAAATGCGTGATCCCTCACGCGCTCGCCGAGCGATGTTGCCGGTGTATGGTTCCAGTTTTAGCATGGCATGGCCAGTCTTACCAAATCAGATTTTCACCGAAATATCTCTAAATCGAGACTGACTTTTAATTCCCTTCTTGACGCTTTGAAAGACGTGTGGCAAAGTGAAATATGGCAGACCCACATCCACATACATTGTCAGTTGTATGCAGTAGAGTGCTGTGGCAGTGGGTAGGCCCACATCCATTGTCGGCTCAGCCCCCTGACTTCATATCAGATTTGCTGTACGGCGGTCGGTTAAGCGGCACGCCCGCAGGCCAGCAAGGTGCCCACATGGCTGAGTAGTAATGCGGTGTTTAAAGTTTGGCCCCTACCTGCATTAGGGCAGCTCGGAGGTAGTATCCCGAAAACCAGCCTATTATCCATGCACTGCTGTCGAATACGATTCGCCCAGGAAACACTCGCGCCAAGGCGCTTGACAAATCGCCCCTACATACGGAGGCACCGACCTCGCATGTTCGTCAAGTCGCCGGCCGGAAGCTGTAGTGTGCCTGACCGTCCTTCAACAACCAAGATCAGGGAAACGGAAAAGCACAGGATCGAATGAATTGAGAGAGAGAGAGAGACCCTATCCTCCGACCCAACAGTTACTGGAGATTGAAAAAAAGCCATGGTGCCAACAATGTCGCTCAGCCGCGATACCGAGGAAGGTGTCGAGGAAACGACGTCCGAGCAGCCACTGCTCGATCATGACATACAGCAACAACAGCAACAACAACAACACAAGGCTGTATCTTCCTCCGCGCAGCTCGATAGTCGCAATCCTACGACAGATGATAATCGCCCAGACACTGCACACTGCGGCCCTGTGATGCGAGCCCTCGGGAGTCATCAGATGTAGACAGTCCCGTCCAGAAGCCGAGGGCCGGCTGACGTGAAGTGGGCGATGCCAGCTAACTGAAAACAGGGTCGTCTACTCAACACTTGTCACGATGTGGTTGCACGCCGCGCTGCAATTGTTTGGCGTACCCAAGGCGGCTGATGCCACACTGATCTTCAATTATCTCGCCATAAGTATACACATTGTGGCTTTGGGCTATAATGGGGAGCTATCAATGTTTCCATAGACATTCTCTGAGTCATCATTCCCTGCGCCTTGCCTGCGATTGTTTGTCTCATCCTCCTTCCTCGGAAACAAGAGAAGCAGAAGGGCACTCAGAGCTAACCTTGCAAAAACTATTCTCGGGTTATCATGTTAAACTATCACTTATTTCTACCTATTACAAATGACGCATTGGCTAGATCCCTCGTCGGGGCTTACGGCAACGAGAAACATTTGAGAGCCTGGCAGTGACTGTCCTAATACGCTCGCAATTATGGTTAAAGGTCCTGCCTAAAACAGGAATCAGCCCGTGATAATGCGAGGTCGTGCACTAGTGACATCTGGTCGAAGATAATATCTCTCCGCAGATCTAGAAATTTCCTAGGGCCAGGCATTGTCATGCTAGATGAGCAGTGTCGCTTTTTTTGGATTCGCTCGTCACCTCGTAATGCTTTCAATTTTATTAGTCTGAGGCTGGTGGCTAATCGGATACCGCCTTGTTTCAGTAGATATCTGCCTATGGAAATCGGTTACAATATGATGATATAGTCTCATGAAGGTAGATGATAACATTGGATAAGAGTTGAGTTCGTTGATAAGACAAACACTTGGGGAAGAAGACCTAGGGATATACCTTTTGTCGTCCATATTTTATGCCTCTACCTACGTCATTTTGCCATAGGATGGACGTGGACCCTGATAATATTTCAGCTAGTTAAAGATATTAGATATAAAGAATATATAATCAACCATACTTATATAGAAGTATAACCCTAATATAACTTAGGCAATTGATGATAGATTTCCCCTTCTTTATAATCAATGTCCCAACGACAATACTTAGTCGCATCTATCGTCTACATCGTCGTCGTCAAGCCAAGAGACGATACCATCCGAATGCTTATGATAATAACGTCCGCTTATAGCATCCTTCTTCCAGTAGCTTCTGTGCTTGCTAACATGTCCGGAAGACTTATGGGACGATTGTGAGGACGAAGCTTTTCGCTTGCTATTGCTGCTGTAGGTAGAACTATGTATAGATAAGGGGGCCTTTGACGAATATAACGTCGAGTATGAATGGTGCGAATGGTACGATATACTATGCTTCGGCTTAGATGATGTAGGGGGTGTTGGCTGGTAGACAGGCTATGGTTCGACGACCTCATAGTCGTCCTCATCCTCGTAAGTGTCTAGTGATTCGGTGCCTGGCATAGGCAAAGTCGGCGCTCCCTCGGCGATAGGGTGCAGGCCACTGCTACGCTGCTGCTTATAGTGCTCCTTCAGCTGGTCTCTCAGCGCTTATGACTGTCTCTTTGCATGGTCCTAGGCGTTTCTGAGTCCTCTTCGGCCTTCCTTATATTCTTCGTGAGAGTTAACCAAACTTGTCGACTTGACAGGAAACTGGTGATATTCAAGTGTGCCGTCTTCTGATTCAGTCGCATAGTATGCAGGGAAACTGATATTCTTACCGTCTGTAGTGAATGTTGTGATTTCGGCATGATTGGGAGGGTCGGGTTTTCCTATGTAGGAAAGAGCTTGATTCCTTATGTGGACCAAAGCTGCTCCGTCATAGGCGCTCTGCATTCTCGCTTCTCTCATGTCTCCGGTGGGGCTCTTCGGCACCACGACCAGTGATCCCAACGGTGCAACCAGCTTGGGTAGAGCATGGGGCTCGCCGATATTTGTCATGGAGTTTGCAGCTTTATTTGCTTCAGCCTTCCCAGTGTTGTGAGAATCGTCGAGGCTGCCGTCAAAGGGCTGTGAGGATGCGTTGTGGCAGATGCTGGAGTCGACGGGGCGGTATGCCCAGTCTGGGTGCATTCCCGTGCCCGGCCAAGTACCTCACGGGGGGCCGATCGGCGGGCACCTGGCTCTGAGGCAATAGATCCAGCCAGTGGCCTTATCCTTGAAGAGCGGGATTGGGTGAAATTCAAAACGAATCTACTGTCCCGATCCCGGCCAGGCAGTCGGAGGAATTGCATGTCCTCCTGTCGCATAAGGTTCAAGTGGCGGGCCTGCTCCTGATACGCGATCATGGCCTTGGATCTTAACTTTTCCCACTCGGCTGACAAGCCTTTTATTTGCGTGCGTTCACACTCACGCATACCCAACGATCTATACGCACGACATCACATCATATCACATCACATGACCACATGGCACCTACCAACCTCGAGGATGATGGTGGTGATGGATCTTTGGCACCTTCATCTTCTTCCTCATTTCTCACCGTCTGGGACCGCGGTGGTACCGTCGCCGACTCGCTGCTCCCCTCTCAACTTTCCAACTCCCATCGGATCCCTCTTCCTCGCCCCCGCGCTATGGATGATCCAGCTCAGCCTTGCTCGTCCGACTGTATGTGTTGCGGCCCCCCCCCCCCCCCCCCCCCCCCCCCCCCCTCCTCCCTAAGAAATAACCCAAATTATTCTTAGGCTCGCTATTACTTTTCCCCTTCGAGAACGATGACGAACAAGTCACTGACGTATCTTTTTCAACAAACCAGGCCAGAACCAACAGGAAGCAATAGAGCCGAACGAAAAAGGTTGCGAAGCAGCGCCGCTCGACCTCAATTCCAACCTCAACCTCAACCTCAACGCTTTGATTAAATTTCTGGAGGATTGCCGCAGCGGCCAACGTCCTACCAACGTTTCATCACCAGCAGCAGCAGTAGCGCCAATCCTGCTGCGGCCACGTCGCTACCTCCAGCTCTTTGAGGAGCTCAGATCGCGCCCTTTGCTAAACTCATACGTCCGGAACAAATTACGGTATGATTGATTGCTCCTCCTAGAATCTTAAATCTATGGAAACAGGATTCCATACACACACAAATACACCCGGCCCCTTCTTTCGTGGCCCCTTCCCCTTTCCCCTTTTTCCTTCCCTCCCGTACGGCGCTGTGCCTTTGTCTGCGATAAATTTCCGCCGGGCATAGTAGCGCTCTTAGCAAGCATACCTTCTCGAAATAGAACGATTGCGATGGGGTGCAAAAGCCCTTGGCCTGAGTAGCATGTTAATTGGTCTGACCTCGCAGTCTCATAGATTCGATTATGCCCCAATCCCTGGACTCCTCGAGATACGAGTGACAAGTCCAATCCACGAGTCATTTGTTGACTCCCTGACAGAGGAGATCAAGCTGAAGCTCAAGACCATTGCAGCTGGGTCACCACCGGCTTGCCGCGGCAACCCGCCATCGGACCGTGTCCGAGACTTTGCTCGGAGTCTTGTGAGCGCCGGATCATCCCGCATCCGGTACAGGTCGTCCAACGCAGGCGCCGACGAGAACAACAATCTCCAGCCTCAGCTTGCTAGGCAGCAACCGGACGGTCAATTCCTGACCCCTGGTACCAAGTTCCCAGGACTAGTCTTTGAGGTTGCGTATTCTCAGACACCCCAAAAACTCAGGAAGAAGGCCGAGAGATACATGGACGGCTCTGAGGGCAAGATCCAGACCGTCCTCGGCATCAACATCCCGTTTGGCGATGGCAAGGAGCCAGCGACTGTGTCGCTGTGGAAAGCAGTAGACGTGGTGGAGGACGGCATTACACCGGGAACCGTCTTCGACATGGCCGAGGTGGTTTCCTTCGAGGTACGTTTGTCATCCCCCCCTTCCCCATGTCGAAAGACGAGACGATCGGACCGTGCATGAGCGACAAGAGTCACACACATGTCTAACGCGCACATCTTTCATGGTTGTAGCCTTTCCGGTCGAGCGCTGGCGAGCATCTACATGGCGCCAAGGAACTACCGCTTGTCCTCAGCGATTTCGAGACGGGCCGCCACAGCCCTGGCCTCGAGCTGACCAAGGTATCCGTCACATACGATCGGCTTGCGGGCATGCTCGATCTGGCGCATGCAGTCCAGACCTGGACAAAGGTCCAGCCCGAAGACAACGGCGGCGAACAACTTGGCAACAAGACCAGACGGCGTAGGCGGGCCTCCACCTCACCCGACCGGATCATCACTAAAGACGAGGCTCGTTTCGAGAATGAGGAGAGGAGAGCTGTTGAGCAAGCGGAAGCTCTGGACCAGGACTTCCAGCTACAGTGAAGATGGAGGAGAAGATGGAGGAGAGGGGTAGGGCAGGGCAGCACACTTATGGGGCATTATTCTCCGATTAGCCCTCTTGAAATGTCAATATAATATCAAATTGTAGCACTTCTAGTCAGACTACGCCAAGCTGCAATCGATGAAGCATGTGCTATACCCAAGTCTCTTTGACTCTACCTATGTCTGGTAGGGAACTAAGGCGGCTATGATATTTGATGAAAAAAAAAAAAAATGAAAAAAAAGATTTCTTGGAGGTGGTATCGGATATACTGGTAGCTTAAGCATGAGATATTGATGCTAGTCTACGAGACGGCTTAAAGTAGAAATAGCTAAATAGGGTTATATTTGTATTACTATTATCATATCTATATTAAAGAGACTTATAATAGGTAATAGATGGCTCAAAATTATTTCAAGGCTGCGCTGGACAGCCTCGCCGGTCACAAGGAGGGCGAGGCGAAGAACGCCGAGATTGCGAGCCGGGGCGAGCGGGAGTTCACTAACAAGGAGTTTGAGCGGAGCACGGAGAGGCTTGTGTAAGTGAGTCAAGAACGCGTGGAGGATGAGGTCGAAATACCCCATTACGTTACTATTGTTGTAGAAAAAGGAACCCAGGAATCTATATCAAGAAGCCAAAATCCTAGACAGGCCGCAGAAGCCCTCGGCTTAATTTCGCTGTGTACTTGCTTGCTGCCCCCCTTGCTGGCGCAAAGGACAATCCCCCTTCCCCCTTTTGATGATCTTGTTGTTCCTGACTCGTACTAATGTACCATTGTCCCAACACCCACGTGGTACACCGTGCTCGGCAATGAATTGGGATTTCTCACGCCCAGTAGCCAGCTTGCGGTAGGCCTCCCCGAGAGAGGAGTTGATAGGGATGTACCAAAGGAATCCATCCGGATGGCGATAGGTATAGTGACTTGCACGAACGGCCCGTTTCTTTTTCACTTCTCGTCCCGTCGTTTCCGCTTCTGCCGCGGCATTATCGCCATGGTCACCCCCATCATCACTCCCATCATCTTCAGAGCCCTCCACAGAGGCCCCGTAAATAGTAAAACCCGAACGACCACCGGATAAGCAATCGAGGTGGTCAGTGCTGGTAATCACCTGCTGACAATGATCCTCAGGAGGGCCTGCGTGGGCCACTAATCTCGTCCACCCAGGAGCTGTATTGTGCTCAATGCTGTCAAACAGCTCGTCATTCTCACCCTGGCAGCAGTCACCCAATGGGATATCCAAGCATGCAACGCCTTTTTCGGGGTCCGAGCCATCGCAGTCGAGGTTCGGAAACTCGTCATCTTCACCCGATCCCCAAAGTGTGAGGTCAACGGGGCCGTCATCATCATTGTGGGCCGCTTGGGCCGTGTCGGCCAGGTTCATGTCGTTGGTATCACGAATTTCGCGAGAACAACGAATATTTGAGGAAGCATCAATAAGGTGCGAAGTTGGTACGTACGGCACTGCATTTTATAGTTATGACGATTCCAGTGGGGGTGGCGATTATCCAACGTTTGTGTATCAAACTCTGGTACCCACAGCAGATACTTGAGCAACATGCATAAATTATGAAGGGTCGACTTCAAAGTATCCACGTAAGACTGTCTAGAAAACATAAAGAAAGACTTATACTTTGATATCAAGTCGACCTTATATCATTATAAAGACTATTGACAAGGAAGGGTCAATCTCTGGCCATCCATAATGCCGAAGTGGTTCACAACCGTTCCGTTAGCTTGGGAAAGTTATAAGCCAACTGTAAACGACATGAAACATGGGAGCGTGGTACCATTGTTGAGGAAGGTTTCGTTACTCCGTGGTCAATTCGCAGGCAGGTCGCTTAGTTCCACTACTCGGGTAATCAAGAATGCAAAATCAAGTCCATCCATCGTCACCGCCAAAGGCTTCACAACTCCCGAGAATGGAGCATTATCATTTATCGATCTCTTTACGCTCCGTCTCCGAAAGATAGGCTCTCAGCGTCAGCCAGCCGCCATCTAGAGACAAATCTAACAGACCGTCAGCAAGAAGATCGAGGGGGGAGCGAAGGGAACTATATATGTCCGCACCCGCATGGGCCTTGTACGCTGGATGAGTGTAAGAGTGCCTTTTGGGATCCTTGTCTTCGAAGCCGTCAATGATATCTTGGCGGCCTGCCTTGCGGAACTATGATGAAAAGTTATGAGTACACATCATGCTTGTTCAAGAGTGGACCGGACCAATGCCTTATCATACCCGCCAATCGATGCAATATGCCTTCTCGGCGCCAGTGATATCCTTCACAACGTTCGTGATATCTGCCAGGTACTCGATAAGTTGAGCCGGAGGGTCGGGCTGACCGACAGCATGGGCCACACCGTGGAATCGTAGCTGACTTTTAACAATGATGAAGCCGTGGTTGTTCAAGCGCAGCTCGGAAATCCTGGAGCGCATATCATGGATGGGCGTTAGCTGGTCAGACGCGAAGGCCCAGTTTGTGATGGGAAAGGAGCTGTCGTCGGGGAGCAATGACATGTAAGGCTTTTCCTTCTTGAAAAGCTCTGGATCATCCTGTATAAATGAGATATTTGCCAGTACATCCCCAGACATTATGTCTTTATCTGACCCTGCAACCGGTCGCTGGGGCTGAGAAGTAGACATGATCCTTAATGGTGGTATGTAAGACTCAAGACCCCGCAAATGGGTGAAGGAGTGTGCCTACAGAATATATATGCCGCTGCTATATAAGAGCACATGCGGGGTTTCTCTGATACTTAGGTAGCACACTTGACGTATCGGTCGTCGACGACTACTAAGCATCAACAGGCACAAGCACAGTAGCAGTGGCAAACCTTGGTCGTGGGCGGTGTCAGACGCCCTTAGATAGGCCCGTTTATAGGACTGACTAGCCACTCAGCAAGTCACGCATGCAGGTATACACACACAGATTTTGGCCTCCACCGCTGCTGCTATGACTAGAGCTCCAGGCCCCTAGCACCATAACATTCCTTAGTCCAGCCAAGGGCAACAAGGTCGCCACCAAACCAACAAGATGAAAGTGTCTCTGTCCCTGACTCGAATGCACCGACTGTGACAAAGTCTCCTTTGTCAACAAATTTCTACTCTACATTTCTATACATGGCCCGATCTGCTTAACAAAGCTTCGGTACCCTCCAACCCGGTTATGGCGAACTCGATGGCCAGTCACCAGAATTGAGCGACTGTATTGCTAGCTCGACCTGTGCGGCGCCAATCGCCGTCTGGACAAGGCTGATGACGAGGCTGAGAACTCCCAAGATGATGACGGCCCAGAAGGTGTACCATCTTAACATGTCCCTTTTGTCTTCCCACAGAGACGATATCCTGTTAGGCTGGATACTGTTGATGAAGCGATCGATTTTGACGAGCCGAGCCGAGAAGATGGGAAAGTCGGACGAGCTGTAGAATGTCTCTCGGATCTGCAAGGGATCTCTCTGGAAGCGCTCGAGGAACAGCCCCTGCTGCCTCCAGAGACAGAGCGTGTCAAGTTTTTGATCGAAACAGCTGCCCAGGGCGTCGGCTCGGAGGCTTCGGAGGTATGTCGCGCGGGATCTCCGGTCAAACCAGATGAGTAGCTGTCAGGAGAGTCGAATTTCATGCATCAGGGCCATTGTCGTGAAGCGCACGGGCTTCTCGTCCTCCGCGTACCAGTTTTCCAGCAGCCTACAGTCACAGTCAGTAAAGTCACCCCCAAGGCTCGCTGGGCTTAGAATAGTCAAAGAATCAGGGGTGGGCAGACTTACCGGTTCAGTAGAGACGACTCTGTCATGTAAAGATAACAGAGGCTCGGGTAGCGAAAGAGCTTGAGGATGGGAGTAGCTTCCCCCGTATTCTCGTCGAGGCGTGCGGGGTCAAAGTCGAGGTGACTGGCAAATGAGCTGGTCCACTCGATTTTGATTCTGCCTACTGATTGGAGAGTTGAGATGTTCATGCTTGCGATGCGGAACATGTGGAAGTCGGCGCCAGACGCACCAGGCATCGCGCCGGCCTCGAGGTCACCTTGTCTCTCAGATCGTCTCCGCGTAGGCAGAATATCTCCAAACTCGTGGAGAGCCTCGAGAACAGAGCGATAGGCGAGGTCCGCAGCAACATGCGACGTCTGGTACCCGGTTGCATGCTCCGTATCAACAAGAAAGGTGCCGTCGGTCAGCTTTGGGATGAACAGGTTCGTGATCCACCCAAGAGCCATGAATATCAGCACCTCACGGCGAGATCTGCCGACTGAATCATCATCGCTGCCACCGTCGCCGGAATCATCAGAGTTCTTGAATGCGGGATTATCGGAGCCGAGAAGATGACTATCGATGGAGGATGCCGACACGTCGGTGTCTCGCCTGAGAAACTCGACGATGGCTATCAACAGCCGCGCGACGCGCACATGGTCGTCTTCGCCCGGGTGAAACGACGAGTGTAAGTAGGTTAGGTATTGTTCGAGGACTTGGGATTGTTCCAGTGCGTTAGAAAATAGCTTCTTAAGGACGGCGGCTGAGTCTGCTTCGTGATCAACCGCACGGCCGGCAATAGCTCGCGTCAAGTCGAGGCATTCTCCAGGCTTCAATCAGGCATTTTTATGAAATGAAATGACTTTTCTAACAAAACACTTCATACCGTCGTCTCTTACACATAAACGCGCGCCGTTGCATTAGCGACAACACCCAGCTTTCACTTCCACTTCCACTTCCACTTCCGGATGGTTTTCATGACATCGTCGTCGCGCTCTTCGTCCCTGGTCTCCGGTTTGCTCAGGCTCGCAGTCTGGGGTTCGCTGGCAAGCCTGGCATTCATGACATTGTTCAGTCCTCTCCGCGACTTCGTGCGCCGCCACACCCCCCCTAGCTTGGCCTTTCGCTCGCACAAGATGGTGGAGCCCAACTTACTCACGGCCGACACCAAAACTCTCCAGCAGATGTTGACTGCTGGTTCCATCACCAGCGCCGGTCTCGTCGATGCCTATCTCGCCCAGATCCAGAAGCATGACGGCTACCTCCACGCCATGATCCAGACTACGCCCCTGGATATCCTCCAAGCGGTCGCCAAGACTCTGGATGAGGAGAGAGCTGCTGACAAGGTCCGCGGTCCACTGCACGGGATCCCCGTCCTCGTCAAGGTACGTGTCGCGTGGATTGTGGCATTGAGGCATCGTGGTTTCTCAACGGGCCGCCTAGGATAATATCGCGACACACCCGAACACCGGTCTTCGAACAACGGCGGGCAGTCTCTCGCTCTGGAGTTCCAAGCCCAAGGAAAACGCCAAGCTCGTTGATCTGGTACAGTAGCCCCTATATCTTTCGCGTGCCTTCCCAGATTGCTGACTAGCCATCAACACAGCTCATTGCATCGGGCGCCATTATCCTGGGCAAGGCTAATCTCAGCGTATGTACCCAAATTCCCCGTCCCGCATCCATCTGGTGCGGTAACTAACCTATTGCGTTGCAGGAGTTTTCCAATTCTCGGTAAGGGACCCCCTTTTCGTCACCTGACGACATCTAATGGTTTGTAACAGTGGTTCCATGGTGCCGAGCGGCTGGTCTGCCATCGGTGGCCAAGTGCAGTCTGCCTATGTCCGTGGCGGCCTAGATCCCGACGATTCCAAGGACGGACACTCGGTGAGCTCTCAACTCCTGTTCCCGACGTAGGGAATGTGCCTAACCCGCCTCAAGAATCCTTCGGGCTCGTCATCCGGTTCCGCTGTTGGAGTGTCAGCTGGCTACGCCCCCATCTCCATCGGCACCGAGACTGATGGATCGCTCCTCTGCCCAGCAGGAAGAGCTGCCCTGTACACCATCAAGCCCACTATTGGCCTCATCCCCCAGCACGGAATAGTGCCCATGTCAACCAACTTTGATTCGGCTGGGCCAATGACCAAGACTTCCCATGACATGGCTGTGCTGCTTGATGTTCTCGCCTCTAGGTCTCCGTCTGAGTCATACACAAAAAACCTGACCGGCTCGTGGTCCGGTATATCGGTCGCAACTCTAGACTATTCGAAGTGGAGATACCCGGACAAGATCATAAAGCCGGCAGACGGCGCCGAAGCCCAGATAGTATATAACATCCCCAGCACCCAGTTCCTCGTCTCCACGACTAACTTGGAGATAGTTGAAGGAGACTCGTGAGGCGTACGATTTGATCAAGACAAAAGTAGACAAATTCGTCGACGACGTCGACCTTGTCACAGTCGATGCATTTGAGTTGGAAGGCAAGAATACTCTGGATATCATCACCAGTATGTTGCTAGCCAGCACTTCTTAGCTCCTGCAACTCGCCTGACATAATTCTCCATAGTGTCCGATATGAAAAGAGATCTCACCGCCTATCTTCAGGACCTTAGAGAGAGCGAGATGCGCACCATTACTGACATTATCGAGTTCAACAAAGAACACGCAGAGAAGGAGTTGCCCCCGCGTATGTAAATGATTCGCACCTGGGAGTCGCACTGCTCGCCGCTGACGAGTATCTAGATCATCCGAGACAGGACACCTTTATCAAATGTGAGAACCAGAACGTTTCTGCGACGGATTATCACCGCCTGTTCGCCCACATGCGGAAGGTGGCGAGGGATTCGGGGGTGGAGCGCGTCTTTCAAACCCATGGAGTCAACGTCATAATCGGCCCAGCCGATGGATTCATTTCAACCATGGCCGCGAGCGGTGGTGAGTGTCACACAACCATCCTGGCAAGGATGCGCAATGAACTATATTCACTAACTATCATGATACCGTTTAGGCTACCCTGTTGCCGCGATGCCACTGTCGTACCTCGACTTTAACGGCCATCCCTTCGGGCTTGCCGCCCTGGCCGGAAGGCACCAAGAGGCTCTCCTCGTCCAGCTCATGAGTGCCTGGGAGGCTACGTTCCCAGCTCGAAAGCCGCCGCAAGCGCTACTATAAGCTGTAGAGGGGAGGGTTCCACTGACTTCGGTATCCTTTCCACTTCACAAGATATTGAACTGTCGGTCTGGCTCCCTTCCAGCTTATCTGTCGTTGCAGGAGCTTATCGATCTCGAAAAGGTCCTCTTCGCCATTCTCGTCCTTAGCGATCATACGGCCCAGCGGGGATGGTTGACGACCGAAAGGGTCTTCGTCTTTCAGTGTAAGGATGTAGGCCTTATATACTGTAGGACCTGGGAATTCTCAGTATATAATGCTGAGAATGCTGATCTTTTGGTCGTGTTGGTAATTACGTAAGCCTAGGGCAATATCCTTACACTTTCTCAGCACTATGTGGGCGGCCTATGCTAGCACCAAGAGGCTGGTGGTTCAATTCCCTATAAGGTCTCAATTAAGATAAATAAGACTAGCATTATCCTGCTCATAAGGCCTACCTAGTGGAGCCCTTGGGGGTCTAACTATAGTTGTGTTACCTGAGCAAGGGGGCTCTGCTCTAGGCGTGGAGAGTCCGGCCTACCTTCCTAGCGCTTGAGCCTGTAGCGATCACTATAGTCTCGAGGACAAGCTTATTGGAGGGGGGATAATTGTAAGGATGTAGACATATACTGTAGGACCTGGGAATTCTTAGTATATTATGATTGTAGGTAACAGTTAGGCTGTTATCTGCCAACAGGGCTACAGTGGGTGGCAAAAGGTTGAATCCAAAGTGAAGTTTCTCTAATTTCGCTAATCGATTGACTAAGCCTAATATAGCAGAAAAGCTGGTGGTCTGTGCTAATAGTACGTAGCTTGCATTACATTAACCCTCTGCCTAAAGTGTATTGTGTTCAACTAATTCTTCACAGTTGGTCAAATGCCATACCAGTCGAGAGTTTCCGGTCATTCTAAATATCTACCAGTAAGTAGCACTATAATGGGAGCAAAAGGTCAGTAGTTTCCTACTTCAGTTTAGACATTGACTTATCCTCTAATAGGAAGTGACCTAATGCTTATCAAGCTGGCCAAAGCCGCCTTTGAAGCTACTTCATGGCCAACTACGATTGACACGGGGCGATACATGTATCCGCTTGCTGATTACACCCGAAATGTCGCAGATGTTGCGTATGCAGATAGTCGAAGAAACGGCGCGCTCGCTCGCAATCAAGTGAGATCGTCTCTATAATCATCTGATAGTGCAGAAAGAGACCGTAGCCATAGCTGCGTGGGCTTAACGTGGTCGGAAGATAACACGAATAGCTTCAAGGACGCATTTTTGCTTACATAAAGAACTGTGATAATTTTAATCTAGACTTGTGAAGTAGAGTCATATTCTCAAGTACGTAGGTGCACGAAGCTAAATATTTCGGGATTGTAATGAGTAATAATCTAGATACTTCCCTCCTATCGCAAGTAATAAAAACGACTGCCGCGTACTAGCCTACAAGAAGGAGAGGTTATGAAGGTTCTTTCTCAGAGATTAGTGTGTGCTAAGATGAATAGAACATGTGAATGTATCGAAAATGCCAGCCATAGCCCCTGTGTTTAGGGGATCTGTATTTCCGCTCGACGTTCTTGGGAATGAGTGAGGTGTTAAATATAGATCTGTTCTACTAGTACGATAATAGACGATGTGGCACAGGAATACAGGTTGCTGGATCTCCTAGTTGGATTGAGTATTAACTGTCCCGTGGTGTGATGACTAAAGCCCTAACCTCGAGGCTTTCCCGTGGGCACACATCTTTTAGTCCTACATTGTCGACGAGGTCGCCTGATGTGTGGAAGCAAGCTAATATCAAGTCTTACTATTGTAACTTGTATCAAGCCATGGTGAAGGATGAAGGTGACATACTTTGGGGGCCATCGACTGGACGGCTGTCATAACTTACGAATAGAAGAGCCTCGTCCACGTCTTGGTCCTTGAACCAAAACCACCTATGACCCTCAGTGTAAAGTAAGAACAAAGATTCCCCAACATAGGTCCCGGAGACGACATCACATGCGATAATGCTGTTGGGAGTGATAGAGAATGGATCGCATAGAAGTAACGGTGCGCTTTGGATTCTACGCATAATTGGTTTCCAAAAGCTGGGTCGGATCTGGCTTAGCTTCTTGTCCTAAATATTGCCGTCAAGAGAGCGCTACTTGATAATTCTAATTCGCCAGTTGTCAGATATATAATACTTCTACTCCTCTAGAGTCAAGTGAGCTGTCACGCGCTTGTGCCCGCTTGCCGGTGATTGATCTTGATGTCGGTCAGCGCTGAAAGGCCTCTAAACCCGTAGAGAATGGTGGTTTCTAACCAGCGTGTGGATTTCGAACAATGATTGCATGGTCAGGGCGATTCGAGAAGGAGTATCCTTCTTCTTTGGCTTTGCTCTCCTCTTTTCTATACTTAACAATGTGAGAGGAAGTAAGCAAGGAGAAGACGAGCTACATCTTACTGCGTGATCGTATAGATAGACTTTGTCGGTGTTGAATCTTTGAGATAACAGGGACTGAACACCCTTAGTCTCGTTTCTAGAGTTGATGTGGTTGAAATGGAGAGCCATAATCTCTGATGGGATTGTCAGGAGTTCAAATCCCTGAGCCTCGACTGACAACTCATCCCGAACACTGCGAGCATCACTCACGTTGAGCTGCTTCCGCTCAAACTCAAGGTTGGTGCGGATCGACTCATCCGACAGGGCTATATCAAGACCGAGTATATATGGCTTTTCAGCCGTGTACTTTGGCAGTGGCTTCACATACTCAACATTGACTTCATGCCCTTTGAGGAGGTGTCGGATTTGCTCTAGAGACATCATTTCCTAGCAAGCTGTCATTCGAAGGCTCAAGTCTCCAAGCAATCAACTGCACAATCAGATAATAGTGGTCATGATAACAAGAGCGATTGACATGAAGCGTACGTGGTCAGGCCTAAATTGGCTTGGTAATATGGGTAGCGGAGAAATCGGCCTATCTCGGCATTTCAGGACAACCAATCGACAATCTTCTGACTTAGAATGAGGCGGAATGTAGTGCATACATAGGGTGGTCTTGCGTCAACATGCGACCGCACATCTAATCCTTCGAGCGCTTTCCAAGGAAGACCTGTCTCAGGTCAAAAGCCTTGCGGATGCCGGTATAGCACGCAAGACATCTACAATTATATTGCAGAAGCCAAACGAGATGTCTACCAGGGGCAAAATAGCATTAACGCCCTAGCCGATCAGCTTTTCAAAGAAGGATTCTGGAGTCAATTTCAGACGAACTCAGATGGACGAGTCAAAGCCGTTTTATTTGCTCGTCCTGACTCAATAGCCTACCTCTGAGCTTTTCCTGAAATCCTCATCTTGTGCTGTACATATAAAACAAACAAGTATAGGATGCCGCTTCTTGATTTGATTGGGGTTGAATTAATATATGGAAAGGATGGTCTGTGCTAAAGAGCTGAGTCGGTAGCTTTAGATTCGAACGTAATGGAAACAAGGCTGCGCTGCCGGGTTACAGACCCTCTCTTGAGCTGTCATCAGTCCCACGGCCAACCATGCACACTGTGCATACAGTACCATCGCGGCTCTGTGCGGCGCCCCTTGATGGTTGCTGCGTTTGCGACCAAATCGCATTCAGCCCCGGCTTATTAACCCCTCTGACATGTTCTGCAGTTCGTAGATGTACCCATGCCTTCTTGCTTGCCTCTCTGACTTAGGTGTGAGATACCGTTTTCAGCCCTTCTTGGAATGTTTGGGATATCAACCCTTTAGACAAGACATAACTCACATAAATCAGTCATCTTGCCGCCGTCTTTGCCGTCATCTAGCCACAATTCACCACTCATGATGCCGGGTACAAACGCCGAGCCTATAAAAGACCATTTCCTCTCCCCTGCTTCCCTCAAAACAACGGGCCACTCGGCTCCCTCAAGCAATACCACCGAGTCTCCTTCTTGGACCAAGGACACTCCTGTGGCGACAGTAGTCGCTCTGCGAGCGTCAAGGTGTACGAGTATCAATGCGTTACCATCTAAATTGGCGGACACCTCGCTAACTAAGCTGAGAATATCCCAACTATAGTTCTGCTCGTCGCGCTGAATCTGATTTGACACTAACGAAGCCGCAATAGTAGCGCAACATCTCAGCTCTGCGGTCCACGGCGCTTTCGCTCCTGCTGCTGACTCGGCCCTCTGCCATTTTGCTACCATATCCTCGCCAGCCTTCAGGCTATATGTCGTATCAGGATACTGCATGATGTCCACCCAGACCTCAAAGCTTTGACTTGGCTCGGAATAGCTTTTCTGACGCAAAATGTCCAGAAAGGTATCCTCGGCCTCATCGCTGTTATCCTCCGTATTGTCTTGTAATAATCGGTACAGCTGGCGGAAGAACCGAATCTTGTCCACCAAGAGACGAAAGGTATCGAATTCATCCACGATACCATCAACCGGGGTGGTCAGGATGCCTAATTCACATTGCCCCAGCCGCGCCGGAAAGACGACTATAGCGGGGAGCTTATCCCGCAAAGCTTCGACTCTTCCCACAATTTTGCCACTGACGCGGAGCTCTCCAGGCCGTGGACTCAGTTCTGTCGCTGCTTTATCAGTGATCTTCGAACCGCGCGTGGCATCACCAGACAGCACAGATGACTTGATGTCAGCATCAGAATAGTCGGGTACCCAGCTTGGGAAAGACGCTCGATCAAGAGAGGCATCCCCAAGAACTTTGAGCGTCCGAGACCACATGATCATAGAGACGGCAGCTTCTTCGTAAACGCGGGCGAGTGGCTTTGCGTAGTCAACCGTTGGCAGCTCAATCCCGAGGTTCTTATACAGAGCGTGCAGCCCGTAGATTCTGTCCCTGGGCTCTGTCGCCTGGAGCTTGTTGCATTGGGCGAGACAAGAGGAAAGAAAGACAACTCGTCGGTCTCGCTCATCTTCCAGATCCTCCTGGCTGGCGCCTATTTCCAATGGTACACGGCCCCAAAGATAATCTCGTAGAACATTGCGCATATCAATTGCAATAAAGCTCTTGTACGCCCGAGGATCG